TCACAGCTCACAGCAACCTCCAACTCCTGGGCTCAAGCGAGTCTCCTGCCTCCACCTCCCAAGTAGCTGGGACTACAGGCACCTGCCACAATGCCCGACTATTTTTTGGTTGCAGCCGTCATTGTCGTTTGGCGGGCCCAGGCTGGATTCAAACCCACCAGCTTAGGTGTATGTGGCTGGCGCTTTAGCCGCTTGAGCCACAGGCGCCGAGCCTGGGATTTCTTATGGCAGCAATGCCTCTGTGTACCCCTGATTCTCACCTTTTGAGGTGCATACCGTGCATTTGTACTCATGTCTCTCTCCTTTTATATAAAGTACGGACAGAATGAAGAATAAATCTTGCAGAGACATACTGATTGGCTTTTACTTTTTTCTCAGCTGGCCAAAGTAAGGGAAAAAGTGAAGGCTATCCCTGCCCTTTTGGACAGATTTGATGAGATCTATGGGAAACTGCACATCACTGGCCACGTCACCACTCAGACTTTAGATGACCTGCTCTGCCACATCCCCAAAGACAAGAAATCCCCGATGTTGTTTCTGAACAAGAGGAGAATTAGCCGGAGGACCCTCCAGCCACTCAACAAGTCCCTGTTGGCTGAGTAACCCTGATGGTAATCCGCGTGTGTATCTGAGGGGCCCACTTCTAATAAGTAACTGGCTTCCTAAGAAGCTGGCTGTCGTACTTCAGTGGACACTTGGTCTCCTCCCTGAATTTCCAAGTTCACCGAGTGGCAGGATGCTGATTTGAGAAGTTATTATGTTGTCCCACTGTGAGGGTCTGTACCTGCACAGAAACTTCAGCTCTTTGAGAAAAGAGGATTCTTCTGTGTACACTGCTGAGGACCCTTCAAGGAACATGGTCACCGTCTTCAGTCCAGCTTCTGGTACCAGAGTGGAACCCGTAAGCACCATCAGGAATGCATTTCACTATATATATGGTCAGCTCTGATTTTCAAGGGAGTAGTTACTTGCAAATTTACCCTTACTGATCCAGGAGGTTTGAAAACATATTCTACCACATTACAAAATAGCCCAGGATTTTCTCATTGTTCTGCCATCAAATTTTTCCCTTCTCTTTTCTTCTCTCTTCTTTTTTTTTTTCCTTTCCTTTTTAAACAAGAGTCTCACAGTGTCACCTAGCTCTCTACAACCTCAAACTTGTAGGCTCAAGCAGTCTTCCCACCCTAGCCTCTCAAGTAGCTGGGACCATAAAGATGCCATCACATCTGGCTAAATTTTTTTGTATTTTGTAGAGATGGGGGTCTTACTGTGTTGTCCAGGCTGGTCTCTAACTCCTAGCCTTAGGGATCCTTCTACCCTGGCCTCCCAAAGTGCTGGGATTATAGGAATGAGCCACAACTCCCACCCCACTGTATATTTGGCCAGATATATTTCAGAGATCCAAGACAAGATAGTTAGATAGTTGAGTACCTTTTCTCCATCTGTAAAATACTAGTGCCTATGTATATTTGCATATAGATTTGAAATTTTAATTCAACATCCAGTTGAATAGGGTCAGATTTTCTCAAAAATAACAGGAGAAGAAAGGTTCCAGAGCATACTTCTTGGGATTGTGCTTGTTTTCTCAGCAGCATAAACAAAATCAGAATTTAGCTTTCAGAGCTGATTGGTAAGCCAACTGTGAATGATTACTACTTTGGTCATAAGCAAACCTTGTACTTTTCAAAGTAAGTGCCAATAAAAACTACATAATACTTAGTATTTTGGATGTCTTTTTTTTTTTTTTTTGGTAAAAATAAATGTTATGAGAGCAGGCGAAAGTTTCTTCATACTTATGGTTTGAAATACAGTATCTGGTGAATTTTATCATATCTGGTCACCAGTGGACACAGCTACCTCACCTCAGTTGTGCCTGCTGTTTCTGGAGAGCCCAAGAGATGTTCGTCTCTCAGTAGCTGTCTGTCAAGACTGCTGCACGCTCCAGGATTGTTTAAGACTGTTCACTTTGTTATTCTGAGGTAGGGATTGTTCATAGAATCAGAAATTTTAGACTGGGAGGAGTCTTCCTGAGTCTCCTAATTAACTCCCTTATCTGTCAGGTTGAAGAAATAACTGACTTGTTCAAATATGCCTGACTGATTTGTGGTGAAGCTAAGGTTAAAGTCCAGATTTCTAGTCTAATATCCTTCCCACTATGCCACAATATGTCTCTTCAGAGGAGAGAAAGGGAAATCTTTTAAGATACTAAGGGTTCCCATGACTTACGTGGTCAGGGACTCACCTCAGTATTCTCATTTGGTAAATAAGGATAACAGTACCTGCCTCTCAGGCTTGGTGTGAGGATGAGAAGATGAGATGGTGGTGTGAAGCAAGCAGACAGTGCCTGGCACTAGGAAGTGCCAGATGTTTGCATCTCGTTAAGGAATTACGTAAACAAGGGACTTCTTAGTCCTGCTCAAGAATATGGAAAAAATTTCTCTTGCTTGCTCTGGGAAACATAACTCTATTTTAAAGAAACAGATTTCTTCTGCGCTTTCATATAACTTTAATTGCTTCTGTATGTGTCTGATGTTTTGAACACACCACATGGAAGAAGTGTTTAGGTTTTTCTATCTACACTCTTATGGAAAAGTAAGGCACACTGCCTGTCCCTCTATTTATTGACGTAACTGAAATGGCTGCAATGCACTAGATGAATGTGGTCCTGGTTGTCAGTCAACAACCATTCCTTAGCAAAATAAAAGAGAAAAAAATGTTGTGAGCAATAAATAGCAACAACCTTCCCAGTCGCTGGTGAGCATCAGGTACTGGGGCTTGGCTGGTTGCAAGAATGACAGTTCCACCTGTTTCAGAAGCCTTAGTACAGAGGTAACAAATGTACATAATGTTAAATGACAGATGATTATGAACTCTTTCAAAAATTCAAAGAAAAAGCGTTACATGTAGGTTACAGTAGGCATTTCATTCTTTAAAATTTAGTAATTCCAAATGGCCAGGCATTGTGGCGGGCGCCTGTAGTCCCAGCTACTTGGGAGGCTGAGGCAGGAGACTCGCTTGAGCCCAGAAGTTGGAGGTTGCTGTGAGCTGTAATGCCACAGCACTCTACCCAGGGTGACAGCTTGAGGTTCTGTCTCAAAAAAAAAAAAAAAAAGTAGTAATTCCTTTGAGGAAAAATGGTGTTTCTTTATAATTAGAAATTTGCCGAAAGCATCTACTTATTCTATTGAAAAGACTATTTGATTAGGTCATCATTTTCCTCAACTCTGCTGTGTGTGTTTGTAGATTGTTTTACTTACTGTAGGTGTCTGCTCCAAAATCCAAAACTCAGGATGTTGAATTCAGCACAGAGGGAAACAAAAGGATACCTTCTTAATCGGGAGATCTCAGGGATAGTGTTCTGGTTATCTGTGGCAATGTCAACAATACTCTAACACATAGTGGATTTAAACAACACCAATCATTGTGTTATTATTTCTTGTTATCCTAGGATTTGGCGAGGCTCAGCCAGGCAGTTCTTATTCAGGGTCTCATGCAGTTAATAGTCATTATTTAATTCTGGCTGGGACTGGAGTCATCTTAAAGGCTTCCTCACTTAACATTTACCGCAGTTGATACCAGAACCTCAGCTAAGGCTGGGGCCAGAGCATCTACACAGAGCTTCCTAACAGAATGGTGGCTAGAGCCTAGGAGTGAGTATCCTAAGAGGAGCAGGTAAAAGCTGTTGTCACCTTTTATGACCTAGTCTCAGAAGCCCCCCGCTATTGCTTCCATTAAAGTCACAAGCTCATACCCAAGGGATGGGAGCATACATCCCACCCTTCAGTGGCAGGAATGTCAGAGTTTATGGACATGCTTTAAACTGTCAAATGTAGTTTTTTTTCCCAACCAGACTTTTGAACTTCTTTCCTTTGCCAGTTGCCTTTGAGAGGATATTAGGTCGTGAGGGTGGAGCCCTCCTCAGTGGGATTTGCACTTTATAAAAGAGGCCCCAGGGAACTTGGTTGCCCTTTCACCACGCGAGGACATAGCAAGAAGGCACTGTCTGCAAACCAGAAAGTGGGTGCTCACCGGACACCAAAAACGGTTGCCTTGTTCTTGGATTTCCCAGCCTCCAGAACTATGAACTATGAGAAATAAATTTCTATTATTTATTGTTGCAGGCTTTTTTTTTGGCCAGGTCTGGGTTTGAACCAGCCACCTCCGGGCCAGCGCCCTACTCCTTGAGCCACAGGTGCCGCCCAATTTCTATTATTTCTAAGCCACCTAGTTCTTGGGATTTTGTTATAGCAGCCTGAAGGGACTCAGCCCCAAATCTTCCATATTTAGACCTGACCCCGAGTTTTGCTCAGCCCATTATGTGTCCTTTTCTCCTCCCACCTAAGATGCCCCCTTTCTCCATTCTGTTCTGCCCACTTTTCAAAGTCTAACTCATGTCATCTTTTCCATGAGGTATTCTCAAGCTGTTGGATTCTCCATACATTTACCAAACTTAAGCTGAGTGTCTACAATGGACAAGGCTGTGTACAGCTCTTAAGATGCCACAGGGAGTGGTCTGACAAGATTGCTTTCCTGAAACATTTTTAGCCCACCACATGGGCTCCAAGGACTTTTTAGCCAAGTCATTTTCTCATTTCTGCAGACGGTACTCACTGCAGAGTGGTCAAAATCCTTTAAAGGGTAGACTTGGTTGTGAAATAGACCAGTCCTGGGCAATTTTTGTTGGTAGCTTTGTTGAGGATGACCCAAGAAATACAAACTTTTAATCATAATGAATATCATTGGGATATTATAATGGGGAGGTAAGGATTTACCTCCTATGACTGAGGTGTAGGAAAAGTTGTAGATGTCTCCATTTTATTTACAATAAAATAAAAAACTTCTTATGAACTCAGATCATACTGGGAACCTGAGAGTAGGAATCCTGGGAGACCTGATCTTTCTTGAAGGACATTTTAGTCTTCAACTTCTTTGACATGAATGTTTGATCTTTTTATATATCTTCCTCTGATCCCTCTTTATAGCCAAGATGATGGCTAAGCGTAGGGCTGTGGCTCTCCAACATTACTGTCCATCAGAATCACCTGGAGAGCTTATTAAAAATACAGGCTGCTGGGCCCCATCCCAGAGTTTCTGAGTCCATACATCTGATGTAGGGCCCAAGAATTTGCATTCCCAATAAAATCTCAGATGATATTATTGCTAGTTTGGGCAGTGCACTTTAAGAAAAAGTAGATTTAAGAGAAATCTTGTGAAAATTGGCAAGTAACATTTGTGTCGACTGAAAATGGAGTCACAAGTGCACCAAAATATTGATGATTTTCTTGGAAATCTTGAAATCTGTTTTCAAATCAAATAGCAAGGCTGGATATTTTTTGCTGTTCACAGGACTGTATTTAACCAATGTGTCAAAATGCCTAAGATTGCCTTAATTGGAGTTTGCCATAATTTCAGTGTCATTTGGAATGCTGTTCTGGTTTGAAACATTGTATTGGTAAGTTGGTTTTCACCTTGAAGACAGATTTTTAACTCATTTAAATGAGCTGTTAAATCCACTAAAATTGCTAAATCTGTAAGTTGGTTTTCATCATCAACTTCTGGCACAAATTTGGTTTTTGATAACATAAATGACTTAGTAGCTTGTTGCAAATCAGAAACTCTTTTCAATATTTGGCCTCAACTTAGTCATCTTACTTCCAAAAAGTAAACGATGTTGCCATAGTCAACATCAGTACTTTTAAGACATTCCTGGAATTGGTGATGATTTAGTAATCACTTGACCCTTATGAAACTCACAGTCTCGACGACGATTTACATGACATTTTTTAAGCTTTTACACATAAATTTTCTTAATGTACTATGCAATGATACTAAATCAAACATGAGTTTTGGATGGCAATTACATTGTCTTCTATTAATTTTACAAGTCCCTCTCTTTAATCTACCATCACCAGGGCACCAAGAGTAACTATACCAGCTACACTGACAATGGACAAGGAAAATTGCTTTAATATATTTTTTACTGCATCATACAAATCTCTTGATTTAGCTGTGGTTTTTTTTTGTTGTTGTTGTTGTTGTTGTTGTTGTTTTTGATACAAAGTCTCAGTTGTCGTCCTCAGTAGAGTGCCATGTCACACCTCACAGCAACTTCCAACTCTTTGGTTTAGGCAGTCACCTAGCTGGCACTAAATGGCACTAAAGAAGCCATTTCTTCTGTGACATATTCATCATCAGTACCTCTAATAAAAATGACAAGTTGATCCG